GGGGAAACACCCATGCAGATGTCACAGTAAAGACAAAGCTCTACTTCAATCTGTTACTACATTAATGAGTTTGATAAATCATTAATAAATCATTAATAATTATTAATAAATAAGATGCAACACAACAAGTGTCAGGATGAGTAAGTAGTAGAGACAAGAATAATTCTGATGTTCATATATGTTTAAAGAAACAGCAATGAAACAATCTCTCTAAAACTCTGTGAAGTTCAGCAGCCTGTGAAGCTGGGATTTTAGCTACGAGGAAAAATGAGGAAGACAGAATTGACAGGACAGACTTATTCACCTTTTGTTATAAGGCAAGAAACAGAATATTGTAAAGATGTGACTTACACTTCCATTTATTACTATGTGCAATACTAAAAAACAAGTCCAGCAAGCAGTGGCCCTTTAAAACTTCCTAGTACAACATACTACTGAAGATAATAGACAAGTAGGAGACATTTTTAGAAGTTAATGGTGTAACTGAACTTTGACTCTGCTGAACAGAGCAGCAGTAAAAGCTCAGTTCATTTTTTCTACTCTGTTCAGTCATGGAATTATCTTGGTGGTGTGGCATGCAAGCAGGACTGAGTACTGCCTTCAGTTCTGCACCAAAATTCACTTTTATGGTATTCACAATGTATGCTTTTGTGATTTCTTCTGCACTGCATCAAAAGAGTTTAAAAAAACATACATACCCCTGCAGCCTATAAGAAAAGGTAGGCTAAAAACTCACGGACAATTTTAAACATTTGGTGTTCCCAATACCCTGCATGCCTTTACAAAGGGAAAAAGATGTACTGGTATGTATCATACACAGGGCCATTACAGAAGTTCATAGCAGCACAAAAGGCAGCCTCTCAACACTGCCAGCCTTGTGGCTTTATTTGGCTGCCATAAGCACTACTAATTCTCAGAAGAGAAGCCACAAAGTATTTTTAAATGCTGATGAACAACTTCCTGCTAATCAAGTTATAGAAGTAAAAGATTTCTGCAGGACAAATTTAATGCCTGCTACAGGGCATGATTATAGAATTCCATGGGTAAGTTGTGTTTCTTCTCAGAAATTTATTGTAAGAAGGGGACTAACATGCCCTCTTCTGTTACTTGTGAACGGTCACACAGATATATAGTACAATTTGTCTGTTTGTAAAGCGAAGCCCATTACCACTACAATGCTAAAATGCTAACATTATTGTAATAATAGGTAACATTATCCAGTGTATTTCCCCAGTAAACATATAAATAAACTCAGCCTTTCAAACAAAGTTTGACTATACAATACCACAGAAAGTAGAAATCACACCAGTTTTCATCATTGCTACAGGAAACACACCATATCTCAAACTGTATTTGACACTAGTAAGTTTTTAAGTTATAACTGTCTAAAGATTAAAGTGAGGCAATTGCTACAGACGTAAGATGTATAGTTGTGGAGGTAAGAGATAGAGCAGGCAAGTTTTTGAGCTAAGGTGACCAGAAGAAGTATCACAGTTGGTCTTACAAAAATCCAGTGTATGTGGCTATTCTCCATAGCATCCACTACTCAAAGCTGATTCCCTCTATTTTCTACTGCTTTCTACCTTTCTACCAGTCCTCAATTTCTGTTAAACCTTCACACTAGTGCTGATACTCTCCTGACTCCTTAGTGAGCCAGCTCAAAATGCTAAAATACATCTGAAGGCCAGGAAACCAGTCACTTCTTGTTGTGTTTAATATTCTGCCAGCTTATTTATGTCCCTTAACTGGCTTCCTTCAGGAACAGAAACTGGAACACTGGTTGCAATAGAGACAGTAACACTGAATGGGAGAGTACAGGGAGAGAAAAATATGGTATTCTGGAAGTACCAACTGTGATGGCCCTTAAAACATCCCATAAGCTATCAAAACTAAAAATTTTTTAAAAAGTTATAGCAAATTGTAAGTATACAAAGTAACAGCGCAAATCACTCAATTTATAAACAACAAGACTAATTCTTAACAAATATTGTTATAACATTACCTCTGCTTTAGAATTTATCCACATGTCCCACAAACCCCTTTAAAAGAGGTTAAAAATTTTTGAAACAAAGATTCTGACAGTCTTATACATTCTGAAGGCATTTTTTGTCAACTAAAAGCAAACTGAAACAACATCCTTCTGTATTCTGCATAACCACTTCATGGTTTTTTCCCAGCCATTTCACTGCAACTCCTTTTGAGTCTAATTTTCAACAGTACTGATAATTTTGAAAGTCACATACAGCACTGAATTTTCAAATGGCAGTCAATATTAAATGAAACTAAACCAGTATTAAATAACTCACAACTACAGAACAGAATCTATCTGTAAAGTGAGTAGAGGGACAGCAGTGCTCATGTCAGCAGGTGGAGGGCAAAACTGTGAATATAAAAATGAGAGCTTTGGAAGAGTTGCCTACTTTTCCTGGAAGGCACCCTGTTTTCCAGTCATTTGGTTTATTTACAACAATAGTATTGATATTTTCATGTGCCTGATTTGCAGTGGTATGTTTGGTTTTTTTTTTAAAAAGAGAAAAGGGTTGGGTTAGGATACGCCTTTACTATTAAGTAGCCACTAAACAAGCTTTTGAAAATTACCACTTTGCAGTACAGCCATAAGCCATATGCACTTCTATAACTGAACCAAAAATCAAAATAATTATGTAGTACTTTGTTCTAAAAGTTAAAGGTAACTACATTTAGAGAAGCAGACTATATGGTTAATTTATATGTTAACATAATGAGAAGTAAGGCAAAAAAACCTTACAAACCCTTACTATTTGCACAGTGCTAACCTCTCTCCAGCATTGAAGCTCAGAGATTTAAAAGAGTACTTCAAAACATCAGAATGCACATATTTCTCTCTCTTAGAATCTCTTACCTATTTGGACGTATTTTATAAGATGATGAAACTTTTAGCACCTTCATCACAATAGTAACAACGAAATACAGTATTTAAGAAGTTTCATACAAAGTAAGAACTCTCACAGCACCAAAAACTTAATGCATTACTCAGAAATACAAGACTGGTAAACTCATTAAACAAGTATGTTCGGAACTATTAATTTAGGCAGCGTTGCCTTATATGGTCATTAAGGCCAGCAAACAGATGCTACAGAGCAAGAGGAATTGTTGCCAGTTACTTTAGACTGGAAAATATGAGAACAAAATCTGATGCTAGCTGCCAACTAATTCCTTTTCTCTGTTAACAAAAATATTGAAGGTTTCCTTGGCTGCAGGCGCTTGCTCTCTAATAAGAGGGCAGAATTTGGTTACTGCTATAATAAGCATTATTTTACATTTTTCTGCAGAAGTTAGAAAAAAATAAATACCAAGAAGACACACTGCAGTGGAGAGAGAAGTCTGCTTGGAAAAAAACCTAAACATTCATGTGTAACTGTCAAAATTATGGACTAACTTGATTCAAAGATACACTGAACAATTTGCCCTTAAGGTTACTCAGACCTTGACTACTAGATTAGTTTTTAAATAAAAGGAGGGTGAAAAATACTTTTAATATTTTTGTAACTGAATACTTTTGGGGATAGGTTGACTTCTTAGTTATCATACTCCAGTCTATTTCCCATGTTCTTTGTCCTACTAATCAACCAGACCCCTAATAAAGTGCCATGGGGGTAGGAATAAAGGCAAAATTACTCAAGACAAATTCTTTTGCAGAGTGATGTGTTCAGAAAGCTGCTGACCACAAATGAGAGATGCTTCATTTGATATATTTTCAGTTTATTGTCTCAGGTGCAAGCTGTTCGAGTTAAGCACTTAGCAAATCCGTGGCACTTAGAATGGATCAGGGACAGAAAGGACTGGACACAGGTACCAGAGCTAAAAGCTGACTGGAGAAGTATCTGAAAGTACCAGAAATGTAAATTCAAATGCTACCAGAGTACAATGCTGGGAGTGGGAAACTGAGGAAGCATCAGAACTGCTCACAAGCACTGCTGCTGCTCTCTCCCTCCCTATCCCCTGCCAGCTTCCCTACATCTCCCCTAAAAAACAAAGCAGCAGGAGCTGCAGGAGATGCCCCACAAAAGCCGTCCAGACTCTGCATCAGGTCACAGCTCTGGCACCGAGCGTGCCAGGAAAATGGTTTCTGCAGGAAGAGTGCACACTGGTTTCTTTCTCAGTGCACAAAACTGAACTTAAGAGAGACTACACAAACCACATCGACAACACAAAGAAAGGCCATTCTTAATCCTGTAGAAAAAAGATGTAAAGTCTGTGTCCACGCATCTAAACTCTCCTCCCCGCTCCTCAAAAAGAGAGTGTTTGCATTTAACGTGTTTATTGGATGGTCCCTCTAACGAGCTGGGCACTGTACCAAGTCTGGAAATTGCTTGGGAGAACAGCAAATAGCAAAATAATACCAGAGAGTATGCTAACTACACAGTGCAGACTACCACAAGGCAGCGTCCAGTCCTTGTCATGGCCCTGCTTAGTTTGTTAGCACAAACATGAACGTTAACAGATGCCCTACACTCACACTGCTCAGCCAGAGGGTAAAAATGAGACTGACATCTCCTCATGTTCAGACTCACTTCAAAGAAATGTGTGGAAATCCACATTTGGTTCATCTCAACATATTTTCCCAACCCTTTCCAAGTAAGAGCAATGACATGTTATCAGTTTTGCATGAACTATTTCACCTTTTTAAAAATGTTCCCTAAATAGTCCACAATATATTTCCAAATTCTTACATGTTTTACTTAGATTTAAGTCTACATTCCCTCTACCCAAGCACAGATGGCTTCTGTAGACAGATGAAACAAGCCACATAAATGACACAAGTGACACTAAGTTTTTCCTAGGCCATACTATAAACACCCATACAAACCTATCTAACTTTTGCACGATTCTTCTGGCAAAGTTTAATCAAATGGTACTAATTTCTCAAATTCCTTTCTTTGGCTGCTTAATTTTTGATCCACTGTTTTCTGACTACTGTCATCAGCAGTCTAGAGAGCAGACACAGACAAAGTACTTACAGGTTTCCTAAGGAAAAAAAGGGACAGTGCTCCAATTAGGGGCATGTCTCCAATTAGCGGTTCCAGGATAACCCTCATAGTGCCATGGATCTGTGGAAGCAGAGGAAGAAAAGGCAATGGAATTCACTTAGTTCAAGTTTTAAATGAAATTTATTCACTGGCAATGCTCACACTTCTAATTCATTAAATCCTTCATTATGGAAGAATTTGACATATATAGCTTTAAATGTCATCCAAATCAAAAAAAGAATTCAAACAGGCACTAAATAGTTTGGCTTACAAATTCATTACATTCATCTGCATGATGCTGTGTCACGTTACTGGTAATTTTCCTAAAAATATGAAGTAGATCATTTATATTGCTAAATGTAAGCAAATGTAGCACAAGCAGATAAAATGGCATACACAGGTATTACAACAGAAGTAGGTAAATGCTTATAGGTACCTCAAGACACACAAAAATTACTATTTTTCCTCGCTAGAGGGAGAGATCTGTTATCAGAAAGTTAAAAAAACTTAGAGAAACTATATAGAAGGCAAGGCTTATGTTATTTATATATATGTTATAAATATAAATTGTTACATATTATAAATGTATATTTATATATGAATGGTATCTATGTTACAGAATACGAATATATAAATGTTATCTATTTAAAACAGTTCAGGAATTTACCCTTTCAGCTAAAGCACATTACTGAAGTTATTATGCAATATTAGTATTATGCAGGAAAAAAAAATAGCAACAAAACTACACAACTACTGGTTCTTTCTTCTAAATTTTTTCATCAGATAATGATTCAGGGATGACTTGAAGTCAAAATCAAATGAAAAAATTTCATTTCACCTGTATGCTTTTCACACCAGCTCTGCAGAAGTATCTCTTGATCTCCAAATCAATTTCAGAGTTTCCAACAAAACTAAAACAAAAAAGAAAGTACACATTCCATTTTTATGGACTAAACCACAACACACTGTTAGGATTATTCTGCATGGCGAAGACAAATCTTATATCTGTCTATACACAGAAAACCGCACATAAAAACATTACAACTTATAAGAAAGTAAAGACTGTTAAAAAATTATAGCTTCCTCAAAACTTCACCATCATCACCAATAACACTCAGAAATTAACACAAAAAGGTACACTGTCATCTCCAGAAGCATAGCTGAGAGAAAACAAACACACAGGTAGGCTTACTTTTGGGAAATAACAGAATTCATGCTCCATTTCAGGAAAGCTGTTATATATGTTTCACTGATAGTACATGTTCCCAAATCCACACTCATCTAACATAATCATGAGAAGGACTAGACAGAGATGGTTATATTGCTAAAAAAGCAAAGTTGTCTGAAATATTCAGAGACTTGCAAAAACAGTCATACTTAGAAATTCAGTAAGCTGGGCATGCTGAGCTACATGATCCACTAACCACAGTTTAAGCCAAAAACACTTGAGCTCTTTCTGAAGGGAGGGGAAAGGCAGGAAGCAAATTAGAAAATAATATACTAAAAACAATGCAAGTTTTTTCCCTGAACAGTTTTTGCCTCTCATTTTTGGCTTCACCCCTTACTGGGTCAAGGGCTTAAAATTCTGCAGATGCTGCCCTACATCTCAGAGATAGATGATAGTAAAAAAAGCCCCATATATTTTGCCCATGGTACAAGGCTAAAAAGGTTATTTGCACACAAGTCAGACTTGGAGTTGAGCAGGTGCTTTCCCTGAAGCTCCATCCAGGTCCAGTGTGTACCAGCAGAGTTGAACAGATCTTTTCCCAAGAACTCCTGCTGCTGTGAGCCACACTGGGTCTGAAAACAAACTGGTTCTAAGAGTCAACATGGAATTTAGAAAGAAAGCTCGAGACTCAGATTTAGCAAGGGAATTAGGCAATCGTTCCACAGGATGAGAGGAAAAACCAAAACCCAAGAGACTGAATGCCAAGCTACAGCTAGGGAGAGGCTGGCTGGACAGGGAGAGTTGCTGCATTCAGGGTATCTGTTACTCAAATCATCTGCAGCCTCCTATGCTCTGTGTGATGGCACTGTCTATGGGATCCCAAGCAAATGCAAATCTTATCCATGTCTTAAAGAGAAACAAACAGTAGTTCCAAGACATTCTTCTAAGTGTCCCCCATTGAATAATTCTGAACTATTCAAAAGTTAACAGCATGCAGGGTCATTTTGATACAGTTACCAGTTTGGGGAACTGGAAGACAGTAATGTGACAGGGGTCTATGTGACAGGAAGGTGACCGTTGCTTTCCCTGGAAAGAATGTAGTGACTGTACAGTTTAAAAATAGGTATTTAATTTTTAATAAACAATCTAAACCAATGTAATTTCTATTTATACCAATCTATCTATATAGAGATAGTAGTTATATATACACACACACATATATATATAAATAAAATTACATAACATGACACAGAGCAGCAAGGTCAATTTAGACCTGCAACTGAAACTTCAATCTTGGCACTTTGTAGCACCAGAACTATTTGTGTTATGAAGATGTGGAGGCAATACGTTCATTTGAAAAGCTGTAATAACATGATGACAAACTGAAGTAAAACTAGTAACTACACTGCATTTGAGGGTAATAAGTCAACAACTTTTAACCTCATAATAAAGTTAAACATGGCTTTATCCCCTAAGATATTTGGCTGGGTCCATTCACAGTCGATGCCATATGGACTTCCACTGTAACACAACATACACCTTGAAGGCTCACTTAGTAAGCAAATTCTATACTTTCAGATCATAATACCCCAGAAATATTTATGACTCCTGTAATGTACAGCTCACTGGGACAGATGACAGTTTAATGAGGACAGGCTTGTCAGAATATAACAGCAGCAGTACTGAATTGGATAAGCACAGTATGCTCTATGTGGTGGTTGTAGTCCAGAGGAGATACCCAGAAGAAAAACAAATTAAGAACAGGACAAATGTTATTTCCCAGATTACGGTGCTCTGTGATACTGTACTTTCAACTATCTTCATTATTTTTAGAAGGTCTTTAGGCACCATTTTTACAGCAGTGAGCTTCTCCACTCAAGTATGACACATGAAAAACAAAAACGAAATTCAATGTGCTTAAATCTGCAGCCTAAAACTTTCTTTTAGTGCCTTTATTTTTTATGTGAAGGTGAAAAAACTCAGTTGTACACCATCAACAAGTATTTCTTCAATCTCTCAATATTTTTTGGCTTTCTTTACTACAGTTCAGGTTTAATTTGATGGAGTTTATCTGTTGATCCATAACCTTTAATTTTCCTCAAGTGTTTACTACATCCATGCAGACTAGCAAATGTAAGATTTCTTTCTATTAATAATTTATTTACTTTCTCTTTATTTGTTCAAATAATTAGAAGTTTTGCCTTGCACATCCTTGTCACCAGAAACTAGACTTTTAAACTGTAAACATGAATTCTGACAATTTTTTTAACATAAAGCTCACAGTAAGAGAAAGACAGTGTTCCCTGTGCAAACATAGTCCAATAACTGCTTTGTAGATTAGCTAGTCAAGCTGCTTACAAGAGTAAAGTACTTAATTGGATCCTGAGCAATGCATAGGACCCATTTCAAAAGGTTCCAAAAACAGAGTGAAAAACACTCTGAAGCAGTGATCCTAATGCACTAGAAATCCCTGCAGGAACAATTAAAAAAAAACCACAAACGCTCTCCTTGTGTAATTAAACTTAAAAACAAAACCCCCCAAAACTGAAGGAAGATACAAAAAAACCCTAAACAAGTGTTTTGAAGACAGACTGAAACTACTTATGAGCACTTTATAGAAGGTCCAAAGCAAATGCATGTACCCCATCACAAACAACTGACAGCAGAAAGGGCTAAAGAAAGCCACAACGGTGAAACAGCAGCATAAAAGGAGATTATTAAAAGAATGAATGTACATAAATAAAATAAAATGTTTCATTCAATTCCCCCCTGCCTCACACCCCCACAGGGCTTGGCTTAGTACAGCTACTCTTACAAATGCTTAAAGAGATTGATTTCCTCTCAACCATAGTTAGGGAATAAAAGGTTTATAGAAAGCTTCTAACTTTTAACTTAAAAATAAATTAAAATTATAAAAAAAAGATTAAAATCTACAGGGATAAATACTTCTAAGGACAGACTTTTCTCCAGCAGTAATACCATTCTTTATAATCTTGCAAAACTGAACTAAAGTTGATTTCCTAAGAAATAGTTTAAGGTTGGTATCTGTACATAACTGTATCTAAGCATGCAAAAAAATATTTATTACAGAGTCTCTTATTCTTTCTTCCTGTAACTACTGAAACAACCCCATTTGCTGACCCTTAGAGAACACACAAAAACACTCTGCAAAACCAAAAAGAACAACAAAAAAACCACCCCCAAACTGTAACCAATTGATATTGGGGTGGTACCTGTCAAGTAAAAGCCTTTGAAAAAGAGCCCCTTCCCAATGAGAAGGTGTCAAGGACAAGTTTTGAATATGAGACAGGACTTTCTTTGATGGTGTTGTTGAAGCCCCAATTGCTAGAAGCTATGACAGTCACTCCAAAGCTCTCCCGTTTCCATGTTCTTCCTCCACTGGCAGCAGGGACAGGCTGTCAGGGTAAATGAACACCTACCTAACTCAGCACTATTATTGTTATTTAAACCACTTCAAGGAATTTATTTCAGCCTTTTAGACTGGATTCTACTCCAGCTGTCATCACTTCTTTAAGTAAGCTGCAACGTAATGTAATGAGACATATGGGTAAAGATTTCATTCCGGTCTAGGTAACAAGACATTATTCCTGGAATTTCTGTGCAAACCTAATGTCCTTTTCTGTTTATCTGTCCCAATCTACTTCATGAGGATTAGCAGGAAAAAAAAAAAGGGAGGAAAAAAAAAAGAAACTCTAGATTTACGCTCTTCTCCTATGAGGATAATTCTGCTTTAAAGGGAAGAAGCGATCCTGGCAGGCTTGGCCCCTCAAATACCTCAAAAATAGCTTCTCAAAAACACTTCTGGCACTGTGTCCATAGTGGTCAGAAAAGTCTGTTTTCCTGAAGGCTTAAGGCTGAAGAGGCGAGGCTCCTCTCATAGCTGCTATCAAAAGCTGCTATCAGAAGTGGCAACAAGAAGAAAACTGAAGGGAATTTCTCCATTAGGGTTAACAGCACTCATCTAGTGAAACAAGCCTTAAGGAGACAACCCTGCTGTAGTATTCTGTCCAGCAACTCCAATCCCTGATTCGCTTTGCTTTTTCCTACAGAAATAAAGTGATTCAATTCAATAAAGATCAGTCCCTGCTCACAGACATAGCCCCTATCCCTTCTGAAACCCAGGGAAGGATGCAGCAGCATCTTCTCTTATCACTCTAAGAGCCAGCTTTGACCAAGTAGCACAGTCTTCAATGTAGCTGGGAGTTAGATAAATAATTCAAAACTGAAAATAAACAAGTTCAAACTTTGGAAGTGACTCTGGGAAAGAGAAGCTGAGAGGCCCGATTACCCTTCTGGTTACTGCCAGGGAAGCAACAGAAACACAGAAGGCTGCTCTTTGCTGGATCATCAGTGACTGACAAACATGGCCTTTCCACAACCTACAGACAGGCAAAAGTACTCACTGTAACACACACCTGTGATGGCCAAATATAAAAGCATTGCTGGGCTCACCAACTGAACTTTCAAAAAACGCTAACTGCAGATTGTGTTGAGAAAGACTTTGGCAAACATTGGCTAGAACTATTTATAAACCTATATAAAAGGGGTCATGATGAAAGGGCAAAGAAACCTGAAGCAGCAAAACACAGTCACTCTGACATTATATAATAGATTTACTTTGGTCAGTGGTATGAGCCCAAGTACTTTGGAATATCATTCTCTTTTTGTAATACTGTGTTTATTAAAAAATCTAGTAACTGAGAAAAGTGAAAGCCCCTCCCAAACGTCTTATATCGTAAATTTTAGACCAGACTAAACTTTATGGCAAAGTTTTAATACAGTAGTAAGAAAAAAGAAATCAAAGACAGTGCTTTAGCTTTGGAAAGTATTTTTTATTAACTAGCATTACTTTAACGATGCAGTCACATTGAGTTGATATACTGTTTCCCTCAGATAAATGCTATTTACAGCATGCAGTTCCTTCCTCCATTCATGCACAATTAGATCTAACTACATTTGTGTAATGAAGCAATTCTTCTCCTGTCAGGCAAACCAACCAACCAAAGCATATATTCGAAAGTATGGGCACCATCATAATACAATAATAAAAAGTTTACCTGATTTGAAGATCCAAAATGATCTGCCTTTTGTCCACATTTTCAGTGTACACTTTTACACCATTTATCCGCAGAGGCTGAAACAACGAAGCAAGTAAAAGTTGGATCCTCCTACTGAACTATATCATATTAAACTCTTAACTTTGAAATAAAGGTGAATATATCCATATTCATGCCTAAATACAAGAATTTACAACAAGGATTATTAAAATCTGTGAAGTAAAGCTACCAATTTAGCTCAAAATGTTATTTAAAGGGTAAAAATTACCTTGCCAGGATCTATTCAATCACAACTCTTCTTGCAATTACCCTGCATTTATACCACTAGATTTCAAGATTTACCAAAGATTTAATATATGCTTTCCCTCGCCCTCAACTATACTAATACAGACAAACAAGATGTTTATGTCTAACACTTCCAGACAAAGCATTCTTTCCTGTGCAACTAGAACTACAAGCTAAATTTAATTCTCAAAGATGTAGTTGCCTTAAGTGGAATTTAGTTGGATGGAAAATAATCCGTAATCCCCCAAAAAAGTTAATGCAAACCACTCTGCGCATGCTCTCCCTCTTCTTCTTTGGCAATCATACAGAACCAACACGTATCAACCAAACCTTTCCAAGACTCAAATGTTCATCAAGTACCAGGTGGGAAAGGATGACCAATGACTTTTCTTAGCACCACCTCCTGTCACATTTTGAGTCTTTCCTTTCTGGAAAAATTTCCATATTTCTACTTACATCTTTTTAGTAATTTAAGTAAAATGGAAATCTCACTGCTCTCAGGTTCCCACTGTGTTTGGGGCTGTGCAGCTCACAGGTGCAACTCAATTAAGGCTGCAATATAAAGTAAGAATAGGTGCTGCTCGTGTCCGAGATAACTCAGTCCAGGTGCAGGAGCATTCAGAGCTGTGGAAACCAATTTAAACCCTACTTCAAATTAGTATGGCTTAAAAGCAATGCTATTCTACAGTCTGTAATACAGGTGTATCTACAGTATGACAGAGCCCTTGTATAAAAGGATTTACACCTTAAAGAAAAAAAAAACTGAACAACCCACACAAAAGCTGCAGTAAAGTACAATGAACTGTAATATACATGAACTAGAGTCACAAATAAAGTCACAAAGAGAGAAAAATAATTCCCCTTCTTCACATCTGAAACTTAACTTCAGTTTTCCTACCATTCAGAGGAGGAGGGGAAGAAAAAAAATATTTTTTTAAAAAATGTTTACTTAAAAACCCATTTTTGACAAGCAAGACGAACACAAAAGACAACTTCACATAAAAGCTGTTCAGCTGCATCTCTATATAAGTAAAGTTTTGGTTGACGCAAGTAAGAGTAAGTAGTGCCTAATTTATTGCAAGCACAGGCAACTTATTCTTCGCTTGGTCAGATGAAACAGGCTCTTCTGCTGACATGTGAGAGCTACATATTATGACTCCTTCTTTCATGGGACCCAACCACCTATCTGCTCTTTGCTACTGTGCTATGTGCAGTCCTTTGGAAAGCAGAGCCAGCAGCCTTGTCATTAGACTTGCTACATCCCGTGACTAGAAGGGGATCTGTTACAGGAAAGGTAATTGCGTTTGGATGATATGACAAGAAAAGGGTAACAGTCCCTGCTCACTTAATGTAAAGTATTACACGGACAGTATTAAAATCATGTTGCTGTGAGCTCTTCACATGAGTAGGAGTTATTTCACTTTGAGTCTTCTCCCAGTTCCCAAGCAAATTTCTGAAGCAGACACTCCAGGAAAAAAAATAAAATTAAGTCTCTGCTCAAAAAAGCCCCACACAGTTTTATTTTAATGTTACAATAGAAACAAGAATCAGACTTACCACAAAGTGTCACTGAGAAATAGTTTTTGTGTAGATTTAAACATGCTACAAGAAAATAGTATGTAAGACAGAGCCTCTTAGAAAAACTTGACTGGACACTGACCTGGTGACCAATATCAATCTTTGTAAAGCTGAAGGTACTGAGGTGGTTGTTTGCTCCTCTCACTGCTGGCTCGATGGTCTCCCGGAAGAGCTTCTCAATAAATTGGCAAATAAAAGGCCACATCTGTTTTACAGTCTAAGGGGAAAAAAAAAAAATCTCATGGAACACAACTTCACACACAACTACAAGACATCCTTTAAGGCACATGCAAGAAAATTTGTACAAAATTTTAAACATAGAAGTCTTCCATACAGTTCATTACAGATGTACAAACTGGTCTGTTTGTAGACACAGGAAAGTTTTCAGGAATTCTCATTTTGTGTGTTTTATATATTGGCAAAAATCTGAAGCACTGGAGGAGGAGAAAAACAGTATTAAGCACTTTCTTCTTTTATGATGCATATGCATTCAACACTGATGCTGAATGCTGGGGAGAAGGGTAACGAGGGTTACATTTATTTGCACATAAAGACAGGAATAAGAAAAAAGTATCAAGTGCATTTCCTAAAGACATGCATAATTTTACAAATGTAAAAAATACAGTATTTTACGGTCATATCTGGAAATTCTATATTATATTTTCTCACTATTTTCTAACTAACTCATGTTTTTCTATGCTTTTTGAATGAAAGATATTTTAAAAAACCCCAAGCTACATAGATCTGTACCTTAGATTATCACAAATACAAATCAAAACTGCAAAACCGATTTATTTTTAGATTGTAGGTCAGGAACCTACAGTAACTGGAAAGTATCCCAGACAAGTAGAACATCAAAGACTCTGTTTACAGCTGCTATGACTTCCACACAATTACAGCTGTCATTATTTTAATGCCACTTAAAGTCATTCTCCAAAACTCACAATTTCAAGACCATGAAAAGAGATTTAATCTCTCTCATGACTCATCAACGAACAGAAGCTTCAAGTGCATAAAGAGCACAGAAAGTTAAACCAACTCTGTTCTCAGACTCTCACCTCACCGGTTTTTTTTTAATCTTGGATTTCCCTCCTCCCCCTTCCCATTTGGAAGAGATGCAAATGACTGCCCTTACCTTGTTGAGCCATTCTGCCCTCTCTGTGTCTGGAAAATGGACCTAAAATAAAGAGCAAACAAAAAATGAATACAAACACAAAACACTTTTTAGTTAATTGTGTCCAGTCATTTACAATACAGGAAACATTCTTGACAAGAATGTTAGAATTCAAGCAAGTAAAACACAAACTCATTTCTGAACTACACAGATACAAGTCCAAGCATACATTTAATAGTGGCATCTGGAATAAAGTATTGTTTTAACACCATAAACAAACTTAAAAAATAATAGTAATAAGCACAACCAAATTTACCTCTTGTGTTTCACGGGGGTTTAACATGACACACAGGATCGCCAGAATCCTGACTGCCCTTCTACTTCCTTTCATTCATGCCAGAACTTTTGCAATATCAATACATCATGGCTAGAAATATTTAATCAGTGAAGCCGAGGTTCAAGAATATGGATTTAAGTTCTGCCAAAATCCCTTCGAAAGATATTTTTAATAATTTCTTTTCTGAAACAGCTGCAGAAATCAGTGAGACAGAAGGATGACGGTATACGGATGGGATGGAAAGCACCCATCACAACATGAAAACACCAATTAAAAGCTGAAAGAACAGAAGCCACAGTTCGTAGCTTAACATCGTACACACACAAAAAGCAGAACTCCTGAAGCAGTTCAGTAGAAGCAGAGTTAACAAACGTTTCTTTAGAAACAGCTCCTACGACAACATGCAGATCACACTTCAGAAACACAAAGAGCCTTTGAACACACTAAAAAACCGTGACCTACATATACTGACTTTTGTGAAGCAACATCTCTACTTAACTGAATTGCAAAGTCTTAATCTCTTCATAGCATAACAGATTGTACCACTGGTTTTAACAGCAATGCCTACTGGTTATTTTTATTATGCATATATCCCAAATGTCAGATAACAGTCAATTAACACACACATTTTTAACCATATTTTCAACAAGATGGATTTGAAAGCAAGCCCCATTAATGATTTATTTGCTTATTTTTTATTAAATTCTTGCATTAACAATCAGCACTATCATATTCTTGAATATGCTCAAGTTCTCTTCAGAGCAGTCCCGAATTTAATCTAAGCATTCATGTTTTAGCTCTGCTGGCGGGTTGGCCCCTACAGCATAATCAGCATTATCAGTTATTTCTCCAGTCTGTTTCTCTCTCAGTATTCTCAGGTCCATAACTAAGGTAAACCATACATTTTTACAGATTCTTAAACAATTTTGAGTACTGCTTTCTTCCACTCTGAAAAGAGAGGCTCTTGGCATCTTTTTCAGATTACTCTTTTCAAGTATATCACAGATCTATCAAAGCCATTGCAAGTGGCACAAGAATGACCGATGATCTGCTTCACTAAGAAAAACATTCAATAGGATTTATTTTACTTGGTGAGTAACAGATGGAGCAGGTTTGGCATCATATAATTATGTTATTTATTTAGAATTATTTCCTAGAAAATTATAGTGGTTAGAATGTCAGAAGTCCTTATTTAAAGTGTTTGGTAGGGTGTTTTTGCTTATTTAAAAATAAAAAATACTTACTTTTTTGCATTTGCAACAAAACAAGCAGTTTCTCTGTGAACACGAATTTATAGCTGAACAGAGCTTACACTCAATTTTTGTCTTGTGGGGTTCTCAAGTTGTTTCCAATGATCAAAAAGTTAAAGGAACAAAAAGAATGAATGCTATGTTACCCCTAATGCTAATAAGTAACATTTTTTACCTTTCTCCTAAAATATTTCTCTTCTGAATCTGCAGATGGAAAATAACCAAATCTCAATAATTACTTATCTCTTAAGCACAATGTTGGATCAACATGAGCATTTCATTCTAATTTGCTCTAGGAGAGTGATCAGAAATGTTCAAAGGGTGAGAACTCAAAAGCTGTTCCATACAGGGCAGAACATAAACTTCAGCCCTTGTAAAGAACAGCAACAATATTGATTAAACAGAAACAACAAATTAAACACACAAATGAAGAAATGAAAATTCATGGAAATACCAAAAGCAAGCCTGTGTGCAGAGTTATGTTCATAATTCATTTTTAGTCTTTTGTACAAGTATCCAGTTGACATCAACAGGAAAGCCAGACTAGACTGAAAGACTTCCCATCCTCAACGTAACCTCAGCCCAGATGAAATTCATCTTCCTCCACAGAGCGATCCGACTTCCCAGATTTAGGGTACAAACTCCCCAGGGCACAGGTCACTTTTCCTGCGTTACACACACTGCTGACATGCAATACATCTGATCAGAATAAAACAGGTAGCATCTCTCTCTTGCACTCATCTTGCACCCTTCACATTCAGTCCCAGTTATGCAGAATCACTGCAGATAGGTTGGAAAACAAGCAAAAGGCAACATACACCAATACCTAGCCATATAAGCTAATTTTTTTATTTTGAATTTTATCTACTTTGCAGACTTTATTAAGACTTTGCTTAACAGGACCTGGTTCTTAATTTTTCCATATATTTAATAATTACTTGTCCTTTAGTGTGCCACACCTATCATGCTCCTACCATCACTTGAGTTAGTACTAAGCCAACTCCTTAACTGTATAAGTCTAGCTTATTTCTACAGTAGCATGTGTTAATAGGCAACAAATAATACAATTAATTACATATTCCATTCCTGTTTCTCCTGCCTATTCCATCCTTGCTTTTCTACTCACTCCACTTGTAACACATTTCAGTTGTATTCAGTATCTGTTCTGACATCAAAAACAGAGAAGAGAATACAATCTTTCAACTTCAAGACTGAAATTTTTAATCCAGCTAATCTTGAATCAAAAGTTGAACTTTACTTAATCTTTAGATGCTTCACAATCAGGTAGGCTGAAAACAAGGCATAAACATTCTTCTAATCTACTCATTCCATACATGCCGCTGTATGAGACTGCAATGTTAATGGTAACATTATATATTGCTTTAAGTGTTTTTGATATCAAACACAATTTTATGCAAAGACAGCGGGGAAAGCCTGAGGGATGGACATAGGTACCCTGGATCAGTCACTGACACAAGAGCACTGAGGCAACTGCACAGACTCAAACTACCTGCTGTGCAAAATCTGTTAACTCCTGTATAAAAATCTATTAGACAAGCATGACAGAAAGAGACAGGAGTCAAGACTTCAGCAAAGACAGTCAGAGTCTAAAAGCATTTTCCACTTGGTTTCCATTATTAAATTGCTCATGCAGGTTTGGTAAGTATTGTGTCATTTCAACCACTTGGTGTAGTTATTTATTATTCAGAGGAAAGTATAACTAGAGAGAACTATCGCAAAAAATACCCTAATGACCATGTTAAACACCAAAATCACTACAATATTACATGTTCCAGGCCAAGTATTAAAATTTATATTGCAAAATACTTGGAAGTGCTCAAATAATGCATTGCTGCACATTAAAATGCATTCTTTAGCTTTATCGCACAACTGCTTTGTTCAGCTCTAAATAACTCTCAGGTTTACTTCCTATTTCTGATGTGCTCATATCCTGCACTGTCCAAATCTCAATTCAGAACACATTATGTTTTGCAATGATCAATAAAACACCAGAAAGAGCCCAAGGAACAAGGAATGCAGTTCCTTGTTCTGTCCTGGAAGATGCTAAAACAAAACAGGGACAAAAGAAAACCACTAACAACCTCCTATTTCCGTAATAACAGCAGAAACATTTCCTACCCACAATTACTTTATTATTCATACTCTCTATAAACACCATCCATATTGCCTGAATTAACTCAGTTTTCTGCCCAGATGATCATCTGCATCTTTCTAAGGAAGAAAGGCTGGACAACGAATAATAACCGTTAAACCCCACAGACTATGGATTGGTGGGAAATTCTGAGAAGCCAAACAGTAATCGGCAAATTATATCAAATGAGTTTCAAAGTACAAATAATAATAATACTGCTTCCTTAAATATAATTCTTTGTTCACATAAGGGATATTTCACATATCTACATACGCATCACTAAAAACAAGCATTGACAAGGAAAATCATAAAGGATGAAGTTACAACACCCTTCTGAAAGTAACAGTGAATTGCTCTCAGCACAATTTACAGGTATTAATAACCTACTTCACTATTATTCACTGATCCCCTCACTGTAAAACACATTTCTTTTTAAAATGATCTTTGCAGCCTTCTCCATCCTTAAAGCTATTTATCATCAGCTTGTTATATTTAACTTCCATTTCATGATTATGATTACACAGTACATGGGTCCTAAGCATTATTTACATGAACTGAAACAACAAAATTGTTGGCATTGAAAGTATGAAGCTACTGCTATTGACCAGAGTATTCCTTAAAGTTAAAACTTTTTTGCGACACACCAACCACTTTCTCTTTAACTGCGTATTACAGCAAAGTAAGCACTGGAACCAATGAAAGTAGTTTGGATAAAATAAATAAATAAAAAGCCAAAAATAACCCCCACCAACAAACAAAACAATAACCAAACAACCCCCCCATACCACTGAATATTGACTTCTTTCCCTTCTATTCACCCCCTTTCTTCTTCCCCCAAGGATTAAAGGTAAGAATTCAATTTTAGACTACATTAAGAATTAATGTGTTATAACAGCTATGTTTAACAGATACTTATGTGAGCCACCATTACTTAGCTTCTCTCTAGTTCCTTCCACTTGCACGTTTTAATTACTTGTTGCTCCAGATGAAAAACTTAAAGAAACTATACCAGTAACTTTTTGATTGATTATAAGGTCACACAATGTAACCAAGTTTCTTGATACAGTTACAATGTAACTAAGAATTCTTGAAAGTTTTCCAGTTATTTCACAAATACCTCCTACATTAGATACCCATCCCTTCTGCTTACATTGGACAGCTAAAATTACATACAAAAACCCTTCTGTATTGAAAACACATTTGTCTAGCTTAAATGTAAAAACATAAATGGGTAACACAATTAGTCTTCATGGACTCTTCATGCATCATCGGTAGAGAAGCAGTGCATACCACAGAAGGAAACTCAGAACAGAAGCTCAACCTG